GAATTATATTTTTAAATAAATTATATACATACATATATATATATATATATATATATATGATAGTTTTACATATTCATGTGTGCTTATGTAGAGTACATGAGATATGTGTAGCTATATACGTATCGCGTCCCTTATCTCTTTAGGGATCTATAGCAGTAAATATATATGTATATACATGCGTATGCATGCTCAGGTGAATGTATATATATATATATATATATATATATATATATATATATATATATATATATATATGCATGAATATATGTATGTATGTATGCATGTATGTGTATCACGGGTTGACCCAAGCCTTGTGAGTGAAATTGGGTCGAGGAAACACTTGGTGGACCGTCGATAGCTGTGCTTGCTCGAAGTCACAAGTCATCGTGACCGAGGGTTTGAGTGTTCTGGTCTTGTTCAAATTCTTGATCACGTTAGATATGACGCTCTCTCTCCGAAACTGTAACTAAGGTCTGCTCAGGATAAAACACAGATGGGCTCTGTAGATGTTGAAGAAATACAAATGTGCCTGAGCGAGCGTCTGAATTAGGGATTGGCTAGCAGCCCTAGTAGACGGGTATCCTCGAATAGGAGTAGCCAGTTATTAATATATATATATATATATATATATATATATATATATATATATATATATAATTATTTATTTAAAAATATGATTACAACTCGCGACATAAGAGGTCTCATGTTTCAAAAGAAGAGCCGAAAAAAAAAAAAAATAAATAATTATATTTATGCTCTACTTTTGTATCGAGCACTATTTTTTTAAAATAATAACTAAAATACTAAGGAACTTTGGATTATTTACCTAACCAGTTCCTTCCTATTTTCTATATATTTTTACATATATATATATGAGAGATTTTTTTTGCTCACTTGCTGATCAATATTAAAGATTATATAGCATAAGTAGATCGGACAGAAAATCAGTAGAATATTTTTTAAGTATAAGATCAAATTTTGAAAGATATACATTCTTACACGCTCTCTCTCATCCTCTCGACGCGAATTCTCTATTTGCATATCCATATGGCATAACTTAAACTTTATGCATAACTTAAATTTTATTATATATATATATATATATATATATATATATATATATATATATATATATATATATATATATGTTTCCTAATTTAAAACACAAACAGCAAAAAAGTGTCGAAAAACTTTTTGAAATTGAAAATAAAAAACAGGCACCCGTACCCTCCCTTTACTTATCCTCATTTCAAAGGTAACTAATATTTTGCTACATTAGTTGTCAGTGAAAATGAATACCCTACTTCCCCTTGTCTAAATGATTGAATTCCTCCGTATCCTTAGCAACTAATATTAAGAATGTATGTACTTATAAAACTCAGTAAATTTCAAAATAAGTTATTCCAAAATTCGCTTGACAATGACACAGTACTAGGGATTTTAATTTAATTCTATAATTAAATTTGAAGTTTTTAGTTTCTGTTTTTGAAACATGGTGATTCCTGTGTAGTGATGGGATCATATTTTTAAATTAGCAAATTTATAATATATATGCTCTACAGAATTGTATTGAGCACTGTTTTTTAAAAATAAAAAAAATGAATAACGACACCACATTATAAATCTTAATGTTCTTTCTCTTTATTTTAATATATATATATATATATATATATATATATATATATAATATATATATTAAAGTATTAAAGAAACTGTCGCCGCTAGATGGTGACCTCACTGTCCACATTTATATATACATACATCCTGTTCCTGATATTGAACACTCTTACCCATAATATAGCATACCTTAAAACTATAATTTTTCACACACACCCACCCACCACACACACACACACACACATATATATATATATATATATATATATATATATATATATATATATATATATTAGCGTTTGTCATTATTTTTTTCCTTTATCTAGCAAGTACTCAAGCCCGGAATAATTCCACAGCATATCTTGTTGCCTCCCCTTAAACGGCGTCCGTTATTCAAGCCATGGTACAGCGTTCCTGACTCCACATATTAAGATGGTAATCTTCGGATGACCACAACAATTTTTGTCCTTCACAACCATGAACGCTGAATACTTACTCTATAATTAACAATACCCTGATGATGATGATATGATATGTCGAAAGTACTCGGAAATAAATACAATATGAGTCAAAACGGTGTTTTTCTTCTCGTCTTTTAATAACCGCACAAAATAGCTTATTTGCGAATATGAAAGGATCCTATCGAGAATAGATAGACAGAATACGTCTAATTTTATTAACGAAACCTGTCTTTATATATATATATATATATGTGTGTGTGTGTGTGTGTGTGTGTGCAAATTTCAAACCAAACAAGGGAATAATGTCACTAAGATGCAAAGTGGTTTTGTGTGTGAGAGAATGAGAAGAAAGAAAAATATTATTATAGGGAGAGAAGAATAAAAGATCAAGAATTAAGAAGACAAAAGGTAATGATTGACATTGCATTTAGAATTTTTAAGATCAAAGTTAACCGGAAAAGAGTTCCACGAACGTGAAGTACTATAGAAGAACGGTTACATATTGCCATTTCAACTGTAAAATGACTGGATATTGCTGCCAGTCTAGTACTGCGCTTGCATTCACAAAGTCCAAAAACCAAAGAGTAAGTCTCATCAGGATGAATACCATAAAAATAATTATAGAAAAGGCAGAGAGAATCTCGTTGCAAAGTAACTGAAGCCGAGATAAGAGATCAGGACCAATAACTTCTTTTGTTTCTGAACTGAATGTTTTGCCCCTTATGAAATCTTCTAGTGATCGAAACAAATAAAGAAGTTATTTACCGAGTATGGAAGACGTTCCCGTCTTAAATATCTATTTCTTCTTCTCTTTGTTTTGCAGAGAATAACGGCTTTTCTCTTTCCCAAAGGAGGACATTTCTGTTTAAGCGAATGCTACAGGCGGTGAAACGAAAGGTTTGCATACCCAGTTAAATGGCTTCTACACGTGGAGAAAGAAATGCTTTGCATTCCTGGTTAAATGACTTCCACAGGCCGTGAAACGAAAGGTTTTCATTACTGCTTAAACGGCTTGTGCTGGTGGGGACACGAAAGATTCTCATTCCTTGTTAAACGACTTCTGCGGGTGGTGAAAGGAATGGTTCGCATTCCTGGTTAAACAACTCCTACAGGTAATAAAGTGAAAGGTTTGCAATACTGGTTAAACGAAAGGTTTTTAATCCTGCTTAAACGGCTTGTGCAGGATGTGAAAAGAAAGGATTTCATTCCTGGTTAAACGACTTCTACCTGTGGTGAAACGAAAGGTTTGAATTCCTGGTTAAACGACTTCTACAAGCGGAGAGATGAAAGGTTTGAATTCCTGGTTAAACGACTTCTAAGGAAGGTGAAATGAAAGGTTTTCATTACTGCTTAAACGGCTTGTGCTGGTGGGGACACGAAAGATTCTCATTCCTTGTTAAACGACTTCTGCGGGTGGTGAAAGGAATGGTTCGCATTCCTGGTTAAACAACTCCTACAGGTAATAAAGTGAAAGGTTTGCAATACTGGTTAAACGAAAGGTTTTCAATCCTGCTTAAACGGCTTGTGCAGGATGTGAAAAGAAAGGATTTCATTCCTGGTTAAACGACTTCTACCTGTGGTGAAACGAAAGGTTTGAATTCCTGGTTAAACGACTTCTACAAGCGGAGAGATGAAAGGTTTGAATTCCTGGTTAAACGACTTCTAAGGAAGGTGAAATGAAAGGTTTTCATTCCTGCTTAAACGGCTGGTGCAGGATGGGAAATGAAAGATTATCATTTCTGATTAAACGATTTCTAAAGAAGGTGAAATGAAAGGTTTGAATTCCTGGTTAAACGACTTCTACAGGCGGTGAAACGAAAGGTTTTCATTCCTGGTTAAAAGGCTGGTGCAGGATGTGAAATGAAAGGTTTTCATTTCTGATTAAACGATTTCTAAAGAAGGTGAAATGAAAGGTTTGAATTCAGGGTTAAACGACTTCTACAGGCGGTGAAACGAAAGGTTTTTATTCCTGGTTAAACGACTTCTACAGGCGGTGAAACGAAAGGTTTTCATTTGTGCTTAAACGGCTGGTGCAGGATGTGACATGAAAGGTTATCATTCCTGGTTAAACGACTTATAAAGAAGGTGAAACGAAAGATTTTTATTCCTGGTTAAACGGCTTGTGCAGGATGTTAAACGAAAGGTTTGAATTCCTGGTTAAACGACTTCTACCTGTGGTGAAAGGAAAGGTTTGCATTTCTGTTTAACCAAATTCTACAGGTAGTGAAACGCTGTGTTCCGTTCTCAAGCAAAAGCACATTTGGAATCGAAATACCGTATTTGCAATTTATTCCAATCAAACTCCAAAGTACCCTATAAACAATAGACTGTCGTATAAAAGAGTTCATATAGTAATTTACATTTTTTGTACCATTAACTCTCGGTTAGGACTTGGTTACATGATTCATAATTCATAGCGGTGAAATACGTAATCACTTACCGAACATGCTAATACCTATTGACTGTATTATTTAAATTCATCAAATCTGCCAGGGAACACGATTATGCTGAATAATTTACACAGAGGAATAATCAAACGTAAATAGGAAAAGAAAAAAATAATATGATAAATAGAAGAATAGCGATAAAAAGGAGGGCGGCCTTGGGGACTAGAAGAAAGGATTTTAAAGACTGATTGTCAAGGCTTATTTATTTGCATGAAAATGTAATCTTCCCTGGAACATCGTATCTTCTGACGTACTATTCTAATCTTACTAAGGATCGAAAATGAGAAATATATTACTGACTTATACAGAGTGAATAAACAAAGACATCGAGCGCGAGCAAATGACACGGCATGGCTGGAAATAGCAGCTGAATGTGGAAGAATAGAGGAAATGTGAGACTGAAAGGAATAAATATAGAAATTAAAACAAATGTACGTGCTTGAGAAATAGTCACAGTGTAAAGTGCATGGACAGCTTATGGCGGACAGAGTAAGCGAGAGAAGACGCGAAATAGCGAGAAAGGACGAGAAGAGATGGAAAAATCGAAGGAATCCTTGTTTCGAAAAAGAGAATAAAATGTTGATGGGACTGTGATTGGATTAAGTGAATGAGAAGGAAAAGAGAAGATAGAGAATAAGAACCAAAGATGGAGAAAGAGAGAGAGAGAGAGTAAAAAAAATGGAGCTATCTAGAATAAAACGATATAGAGAATGAAAGTGAATGAATTGAATTTGCACAAAAAGACGAGTGAAAGGAAGGAAAAGAAATGAGAATAAGGAAGCATAGGGAATGCGATAGAGATATGAATAGAAAAAGTAAAAGCATATAGACTAAAAAAGATCACAAGAGAACGAGAGGGAGAGAGAGAGAGAGAGGTAGAAAGACTGAAACTATAGAGAGTGTAAAAGTGAGCAGAATTGTTGAATAGAGAATAGATAAAAGAAAAAAAAAGAGGAAGAGAGAGGTGGGTAAAAAGAGTAAAAATAGAGAGAGGGTGAAAATGAGTCAAATTGTTGGGTAAAGAATAAAGCACAAGGAGACGAGAAGCAGAGAGAAGTGGGTAGAAACTGTAAAACAATAGAGAGAGTGAAAGTGAGTAAAATTGTTGAATATATAATAGAGCACAGGAAGACGAGAAAAAGACAGAAGTGGGTTGAAAGAGTAAAACTGGAGAGAGAGAGAGAGTGATAGTGTCTAAAATTGTTGCAGAAGGTAAGAGAGACAAACAGAGAGAAGTATATGGAGAGAGTAAAACACTATCATGAATAGATATTACTTAAGAACGGGAAAAGAAATTAGAAAAAGAAAATAAAAAAGATTAAAGTTAACGAAAGGGAGAGAGAGAGGGAGAGACGAATAGAAGAGTAACACCATATGATGAATAGTAGTAAATGAAAAAGGATAAGAAAAGCGAGATAAAGACGGTAATTAATAAGAGTGGGATAGAGATAGTAAAAGAGGACAGAGAGGAGGTTACGAAGATAGAGAGCAAAACAGCATCGATAGTGAGCGTAACTGAAGAGGTTAAGGTAAACGTGAATCGACAGAGGAAGAGGAGGAGGAGGAGAGATATGGCGAGGAAAGATAAACCAAGAAAACGGAAGATGAACTGACGTCTTTCTCTGTATTTTGAATCAATTTAGATCTCTTGAGGTTAGCTTTATTAAGCATGGTCTGATGCATTTAATGTGAAAATTTGCGATTTAATGTAGGCGTGTTTCAACCTTTTGACATTTTTGTCATATCATAAAACTCTATAATACATTTTAAATTATATACTTGCCTAACATTCTTCCCTGAAACATCTATCCATATCATCAAAACAATATATATAATAAATGCTTATATATATATATATATATATATATATATATATATATATATATATATTTATTTATTTAGAAATAGGATTCCATCGCGACATAAGAGTTCACATGTTTCAAAACAAGAGCCGAAAACTTCAATATAATTATTTGAATTAAATTGTATTAGGTGAGCAAAAAGAGTAAAAATAGAGAGAGGGTGAAATTCAATATAATTCAAATAATTATATTGAAGTTTTCGGCTCTTGTTTTGAAACATGAGAACTCTTATGTAGCGATGGAATCATATTTTTAAATAAATAATTATATTTAGGCTCTCCTTTGTATCGAGCTCTGTTTTTTGATAATAATAACAAAAATACTAAAGAACTTTGGATTATTTACCTAACGAGTTCTTTCCGATATTCTATGTATTTTTACACACACACACACACACACACACACACACACACACACACACATATATATATATATATATATATATATATATATATTTAAACTAAAGTATGCAAAGTTCAAAGACTTACCTTCCGACTCCGAGAATCGTAGGGAATGTCAACACATCAAGCGTAAGATAAATTAATTAAATTTGTTCATAAATATTATTAAATTATTATTTTTATTTTAATCATTTCACCCCAAGCAAGGCGATAATGCCACTAAGTTGCAAAGGATCACTAAGAGAATGAGAAGGCTTTAGTGAGAAAGTACAAGAAAAGAATACAATTCAAAAAGACATTTGGCATTTTGGCATTGCATTTAAAATTGTTAATATTGTTCCACGGGCAAGTAATGCTAGAAAAGAAACTATTAGAATATAACTTACGATTACAGTTCATCAGTAAAACATTGAGACCTAGTAACCAATTTGGTAGTAAGCTTAAATTCATGCAGTCGAGATATCAAGGAGGAAAGTTCGCTATAACAATTGCCTTGAAAATATCCATAGAAAAGACAGAAGAAAGTCACGTCATGGCGGTGGGAAAGTCAAGACATCAGGTCAGGACCGATTGCATTACAGACACTTCTTAGGATTTTATCGAGAATCTAGAAGTATTTTGCAGAAAAAGCAGACCATATGTGGCACCAATGTTCAATGTACGAACGAATGGTAGCATTATAACCATGCAAGATGGATTCTGGCGAGAAAAGTTGTCTGGTACGACACAGTAGACCAACTTCCTTAGACGTAGACCTAGCAACTGATTCAATATAATCGCTCCCCTTCATAAGTAGTAAACATGAACCCAAGAAAGCGCAATGTGTTGCTCTCCTGGAGAGTTAGCATCAGCCATGATTGTGACGTTCCTCCACAGCCTTCGCTGGCTCCTCGCTGCTTCGTTCGAGTGTCGCCGCTCCAAACATGACGTCCGCCTGTCTGCGTCAGTCGTGTTGTCCCGTCCTGTGACGACCAACTGGCTTGGTATTGGTCGCGGCACCCAAATGTGACGTTCTAACCTTTTGGTGATTCGGATGGGAATCTGGTCAGATCTGATATCAGCCTCGTCGTTCCCAACTCGCTTCCAACGTCTGGTTACCAAAGTAACTGCGTTGATCTCCAGTCCGCCTACCCACGTTGTGAATTGATCTTAGACAGACGAAATCAATCAGTCGTTGGGGCCGTAATGCAAGTTGAGTTCAAATGAGGGTGGTATCGCACAAATATGTGTAAAAGAAAATAAAATAATAACTCAAAAGTTCAAGGTATCAAAAAAAGGATAATAATACTTTATATCTGGTTGCTGGATACATAGGACTGCGTCTATCTCCCGACCCGCTATATGGATTGTGACACGTTGTTTTTGTTAGGTGAATTTTAACATCTTAAGTTGTCTGTTCTTTAAGGAACTGGTTCTTGGTGTGTCTTCAGGCGATAGTTGTAAGACTTATTTTGGTGGTATGGATCTAAGTCGTTCTTCAAAAATAAATTGTTCTTGGATTGAAGATGAGTTCGGAAGTTGCGCGAATCTTTCAAGTCAGCTAATGCGAGGCGGAAGCTGATCCGAACTGGACTGAACTGGGAAACTCTCTCGGAAACTCTCTGGGAAACTCTGATTTTCGCTCACTGCGACTTTGAACCCTTTCACCATTTGTCCCTATCAAAATTTCATATCTTTCCCTTCTTTTCTTCCTTTTCTTTGCTTCCCAAATGGTTTCACATGATTTCGAAAGGCAGAAAAGGCTGTCTATGATGATTAAATGATAGTAGTTTTGTTTTGAAGGCGTTAATATTTACAAGCCATTCATTATTCTAGATAACCACTGGTTGGCGGCCATTTTTGAGAGTGGCTGCCAGTATTACTTTGCTGGACTTACTACTACGAAACGATTAAATAGTTGGGTGATCAGCAGAAAATAAGCAGAAGAACATCAGCCTCCAATGATCAATCTTAAAACTGTAAACTCTGCCTGGAGGGAAAATAGCTACCTTCCCCGACCAAAACAAACTACTAAATAAATGATCAGAACTCATCTCAAAATCCAGATACGAAAACAAATTTTTACTACGTTATTTAAAAATTGAAAATGTAAAACGAACAATATTAAACATAAATAAATAAATAAAATAAATAGCAAAGACAAGTACAATAAATTAATCGAACAAATAATTAAACTAAGTAAATAATAAACAGTTGTGGTGTTCTCCCTCTAAAGAATCTATGCTGAACTCTTCCGCCTACTATAAGACTAGTACGAGAGAAAGTCTTGGCAGATCAGTCGACCAGACTGTTCATTTCTGTCGAACTCTTTGTCTTGGCAAAGAGGAACTCGGACGAAGCTTTGCCGAAGGACAAAGTTTCGTCCGGGGAGGTAGACAGACCCTGAACCCGTTTAGGCGGGTTCAAAGAGAATATTTTTGGCCGAGCCTACGGGCTCGGAGTACCCACAGTAATCCGGCCTTGTGCCACATACACCTTCGTGGAGGGGCTGTTAGATATTAAGAGTCAAATACATTGTTCATCTGTCGAACTCTCTGCCTTGAGGAAAGGAATCCAGACGAGGCTTTGCCGCAGGGCAAAGTTTTGTCCGGGGAGGTAGACAAGCCCTGAACCCGTTTAGGCGGGTTCAAAGTGAAAATTTTTGGCCGAGCCTACGGGCTCGGAGAATCCACGTTAAACTCGGCCTTGTGCCACATACATCGTGGGGGGCGGCTGTTAAATATTAACAGTCGAATAGATCTGTTCCAGCTGTACTGGTCAAACTCTTTGCCTCCGCGCAGATGAGGCTATGTCGAAGGGCAGAGTCTCGTCACGGGAAACAGCTATCCGAACCCGTTTTTTATATAGGGAATTTTGGGCCGAGCCTACGGGCTCGTATTGCCCCACAATAAAAACGACCTTGTGCCATATCCTACCTCGTGGAGAGGCTGGTAAATATAACAGGTCGGATAGATTGAACGCTGGGTCAACCGACACACACACACACACACACTCACTAGTCATGTGATACTCTTTTGCTGTACTTACTGTTTGATATATGATATATCTGCAACACCTATTTTGTCATTTCTTTAACCATTTACTTGGTCTCAACATAAAAAATTAAGAAACTACGTATGAACAGATAAACACAAGAAAACATGGTAATAACTACCAATAATAAAGTAATCAATAATGAATAAAAAATATGAAGAACATTATAAATATAAAATAACTGCATTCGGATCCACAATTATACCCACTCAACAGCTCCTAGAATCATTCTAAACACAACCGTTACCGCCTACCAAAATAACTCTTAGAATAAAACAATAGACTATTCATAATGCATCACTGACCTTATATATAAACAGTCAAGCAAAAACACAATGCACATGGCCTGGGTGTTGACGTCAATGTGAACTCTATCCGTGATATTGAGCACTTTAACCCATAAATATATTATATCTTAAAACTACGTTTTATTAAAACCAACGACACGACAATCATTCATTCAGGAAGAGTTAACTGACTGTTCACTTTTGATGTTCACTCCGAAGATTAGATTTACTTACAGCAATATTAATCTGTACATGCATATACAATTCCATAAATGCATATATGAATAATTGTATATTCAAATTTATATTTATTATCAAAGGAAAATGAAATCACGTGAAAGTGTGATTCATTGCAAAATAATTGATCCTAGAAAAAGAATTTATGCGAAAAAAAAAAATATATTATGTAGAGGCGGTAATGATGGTAGTTGGTGTCGAAGCATCACGGGAATAATTTGTTATGACAAACGAGAAAACCGAGCCAGAAAGAGAGAGAGAGAAAAAAAAGACTGTCATTCTCTTCTCGGGCGATGCTAATTATTCTTAACGTCTTCAAAACTTGGTCCGGCCAAGAAAGATAAATCAAAATCCATGAAATATACGTGGAATTCTACATATTCATCACACCGTACACTTGGGATTGCGTTTGTTAAATTTCTTTAGAGAGTATAAGAAGAATTTATCATGCATTATTTCAGAAATGGATCAGACCAAGAACATCTCAGAGGTTTTTCGTATGGGCATAGATAGATAGATAGATAGATAGATAGATAGATAGATAGGGACAGGCTGATACATATGAGTAGACTGATATATATATATATATAGAGAGAGAGAGAGAGAAAGCGAGAGAGAGACAGAGACAGAGTGAGAGAGAATATGCTGAGTTACATAGTGAAATAGATATAAATTACAAACAGATTGAAACTATCGTATAGCAGCCTGTAACAATAAAAAAAGATTCAAAATTTCCAGGTTGAAAGGAAAACTAAAGAAGCAGATAAAGAAAAAATAGAAAATATATAATGGAAAGACAATTTCAAAAATCAATTATTCTTTGTACAGTCGAAGAAATAAAAGGCAACTGCCTATGAACTTTGAATATGGAAGCACATAGTGGCCACTAATCTTATTCATCTATTTAAACAATGACTCAAGAAAAGAATAATTCTCTACACTTGCTATATTTGTGAAAAATTCCTTACTTTAAAATAGGATAATACAATAATTTTCTTTTGTTTTGTGAGAAAATCATTTATGAAAGACTAATTTTCATGCATTAAATTCGAATGTGCTGTAAAGTGGGATATTAATTTTGATCCTGAATTGAATATCACCAGTTTGTTTCTTGAAGAAAAACCCAGTGTGTTAATCTGCTTCTTTGATTCGATCTTAAGAGTTTGTGCTAAGTTTTGTTTCAAAGCTTTCCAAGTATCGATTGCATAACAAAAGAGACCTCTTTCTTCTCTTTTCCAAAAGCAATATTTCCCTTAAAGTATTCCATCTTTACAAATAAACAATTCATTCCAAATGGGTTTGCACATATACGTATATCAATTCAATTTTTTCCTGTGCTTTAGATTCAGAGAGAGAGAGAGACAGAGACAGAGAGAGAGAGAAAGAAAAAAGAATACAAATAAAACTACTCCTTAAAAATACTTCGCAATCCATCTGACCTTGGCAAGTATATTGTACAGGTCTTCAGACTGACTAAGACTGGAAACAATTATATGAATTACCATCCTTGTTATCGGAATTGAAAGTAAAGAAAGATAAAAAAAACAAATCTCAGGTGACGAACAAGACACAAATTGTAACGGCCAGAGCGATATTGAGCGGGAAGAAAAGTATAAAGGAAGAACCGGGAAAAAAAAGAGCGGCCTACGAAAATAGTCGATTTGGAAAGGGTTTATCTGCCGAAAAAAGACGAGTTAATTAAACTCGTATGTCAACACAAAAGTTTATTAGGCGATTCTACAGTATCATTGGAAGTCGTTCAGTACGCCATATTTTTTTTAATACTGACTCTTAAAAAGAACACTTTTATTTGCATAATACAAGGGGGTGAAAATGTACGTATACGTATACAGTAAGTTGATATTTAATTATTGATATGTTGGCATGGTTAATAAAATACGTTTTTGGCGGACATTTTGTTTTTCATTACGGGTTACCTTCGTTTGCTTGTTTTTATATGTTGAATGGTACAAATATATATTTTATGTGCGTAACTTAAACGGCGCTTCATTGTAGTTGCTGATTTGCACATTGAGTGCAGATAAAAGGATTCAGAGTGGAGCAGTTTGGAAGATTTAATAGAATGCTAGAGTTAGATCTTAGAACAAGAAGATGGACCAAACGAGATTTCTCGATGAGTTTTATCATGGAACGATTGTTCTCTATTTCACACGGTCAGCAGCTCGATCTTCAAAACAAATAAAAGTTACGTTGTCAGAATCAAGATTTTGCTTCTGTTTGTTTTTATAATTAGCGTATGGGTCTCCCTACATTACGTGCACCATCCTGGAGCTGATTGTATAAAAATAATTTGGGTGGGCGGTCTTCAGTCATCCGTAGGATATGACCAGCCTATCTTTTTTTTTTGATTGCAACGCGTTTCGCCCTTCACTACATCGGACTAAATGTGTTACGGTGGCACCAAGTCTGATTAAAAAGAACCAACAATGGCTTCATTGTTTCATTTTATATATTATTTTTTCGCTTTTCAAATAATCGGTTTAATATTATGACTGATATGCAGTGTTAGTATTTTATTCAAGTAATTTTGACTATCTCAGACTCCTTCAAGAACCAATGTGGTGTATGTGTTGTAGGTAGATTTTTTTTTGTCTACATGCTGGTATTCTTTCGAGCTTAAAATCGACTTACGGTAACATCGAGTGTAACTCTTATTGAGAACAAAGCCAAAAAGAATGGGATTTATTCTTAAAGTGCATATGATTTTTATATATAAATATATATCGTTTTAATCAAACTTGTTTTGATAAACACTTGTGTCTAAATATACTTAATTTAAATACATATATATATATATATATATATATATATATATATATATAAAACATATTTATGCTATAATAAATATCTAATTATATATATATATAATATACATATAATATAATAAATATATATATATATATTTATATATAAATTTATTTATGTTATAATTTTCGAATAAATTATATTTGCTTTACTCAGTGTTCAGCACTCTTTTAAGAATAGTATATTTTGGTTATTGGAATTTATTCTGTATGCACCAATCCTGTACTTGCATATATATATATATATATATATATATATATATATATATATATATATAATTGTATGGATATGTTAGATCTATCACTGATATTGACCGCTTTCCACTAAGTAACTTATATATATATATATATATATATATATATATATATATATATCACTAATCCAGTTACCAATTAGGTTCGTAGGGTCACCATTTGCTGCAGCCGCAGTAGTGGTATTCCTCGGGCAAATTTCTACTAGTTTTGGTTTCTTGCGTTCTGAGACGAGTTTGAATGCAGAGTGTTTCCTTCTCATTGACCTGTTGCTACCCAAGGATATAAAAATTACCCTGTTTTGCTATTTACACATAGCTGAGAGTCGAAGCACGTAAGTGAATGCAACGGGATCGATTGGAATTTGAGCTCCGATCCCTCAATCTGATCCGCTATCAATCACCTCACCGGAGCGGGTAGAATGGAGATCAACGTGTCTTAGTGGACTCAGCAGTTTTCAATCTGCTTGTTTGAATCTTCAAGAAGCGAGAGCAAGATCTAAAAAGTCAGCCAATCTAACAATAATCTCATCTCACAATCCTCACTCTCGCTCCATATGCGGCCTTTTTGTAAATCACTAGCGGGACTTAAGTGCCACGCTTACGTTTTTAATGACAACAAACAATTTCCTTCTCATATTTTTTAAACTTTCTCTAATTGGTGGATTTCCTTCGTTTCTTTTATTGAATGTGCGTAATTCTAGAAGAGATGTTCTAAGAAGCGTTTAAACTGTTAGATTCCGCTCTACGTCATCCCACACACGAAAAGAGAGATTTTCAAAATTCAGAAGCAATTCAAAGATGCAAATTATCACATGGATTCTGAAGGTCAAATAATTTCTTTTTCTGTTTTATCATGATAAAAACCAGTCGAAAACTCGGAACTATATCAAGAACTGAAACGAACTGTAGACAGTTCTTGTGCACACGCAACACCAAAGTACATAATCAAGAAAAACGTATTTAAAATAGAAAAATTAATATTATTGATGTATCATCTCTTATCTTTAGCAAAAATTATTTGTATATATATTCCCTCTGAGCTTGAATAAAAGAGCGGGTTAGATCACACTATTGACATTGTTCGGACTATCGTCCTCATCTTTGTCGCTATAGTTATCACAATGTTTCAGCCTTTGTATGCTCCGGCCTTCTTCAGGTGGTTGGAATGTCGAACTGAACCCTTTATTTCGCTCGCTGGGGTAGACTGTTCTAGTTCCACATGCCATGTCTAATGCATGTCAGTTATCAGTTATCTCCTGTTAATTCCCCTCTCCAAATTATCCACCGCCTTAACCACGTATTGAACTGATACTTTTTGGTTCCTGTCGCTGAATTTAACTAACGCCTTTATCCACTGTGCCATGTGTCTTTGGGGACAGTCTACTCCAGCGAGCGAAATAAAGGGTTCAGTTCGATATTCCACCCACCTGAAGAATGCCGGAGCGTACAAAGGCCGAAATGTTGTGATAATTATGGCAACAAAGATGAGGATGATAGTCTGAACAATGCAAATAGTGTACATAATACCTCATCTCAGAAATATAGACAGTGTTAGATTAGTTATGAATTTTTTTGTTTACCCAGTACAAAGCCCGAGAGCCACCTGAAATAGAGGATTATAGAGTAACAGTCCCAGCTTATGCGGATATGTGGTTAACGGTTAAATCAAGACTTGAATAAATTAATATTGTAGTGATTGGGAAGCTATCCTCTCGGGAGTCGGTTCTAAGAGGCAGCGGTTTGTGGCAAGAAGCTGCTGGAGTGGAACTTACATCTTACCAACAGAATTCGAAGTGAATGAAGATGGTTCGCTACAATGGGCGTGTCATGGCGGGTCATGGCCGGGAGGGTTAGAACTGATGGAACTAAGGAGTGTAGTTTCCTCCGAGCACTTCTCCTAGAAATAGCAATAGAGAAGCGAGAGGTCTTCGACTTTTCATCTGTGAGAACAGGACTTTGGAGTGGAGAATAATTTGTCACCCACAAGGACGCGAAGACTATTTTAGAATCCACCAAGAACGGAAAGTGAAGACTGTGCAGCTCCTCTCAATATATAGCAGCAGTTCTCCATTTTCGAATTTGAAACTTTATTTAAATATAGAAATGGTGTATAAACATGCAGTTAATTATTTAATGAGATTTTAAGCACTTTACTTTTTAACTATTTTTACCCCAAATAAATACAGTGTACGGCAAAATT